ATAAACCCTATTTAATTCCTTATATTAAATAGGGGAACTTGTCGGCCAATACATTGGTTTCGCAGACCAAACGGATGTCATAACTTTCTTTAGTTTATTTGATCGAGCCTCACTCTCAATTTTTGCGTTCATCCTTCGGGATAGATACATGATTTGAGATAAAGTGCTCTTTCATCTAAACTATGAAAATTATGGAGTCAGTTTAACTTCATCTTTTTCAAAACAAAATTTTTTAAAACGTCCTTCCGAAGCGGGCAACGGGATTTCAATTCCGATGATCGACAACTTTTTACGGGCAAACCCCACACCAAAAATAGTGCCGACAAGTACATAATATCCAAAACAATCATTCATCCATAAAAGAGCACATGTATTTCACTCGGTATTGTGGTTCCAACTTCATAAAGAACTGTCTTATGATTGGGTCTCGTAAGACCTTAACGTGTAACACCTTCACAACTTTTATATAGTCGTCATAGTCTGTCTTACCATCAGAATATGTATTGAAAACTTCGAGACATTCGTCAATAGAGGTGTCATGCGAGTTAATAGACCTTGCTTTGCAAGTTTCAACAAGTTTCAATAGTGTTTTGATGAATGCAACTTCTTTATTCTTTTTTTCTACCCTGGGCCGCTTTGACAGACTAGTTGATTGAACATCTGTGAGAACTTGGCTGAGATCTTCTCTCGACTCACCTATTTGCACAGTTTCCATGTCCCGTGTTGAACTGCCAAAACCAACATCATTTGGGGTGAACGCATGTGTATATATAATATACCTGTAATTTCTCAACCCATCAATCATTTGGTGCATCAATTGTCTGCTTTGTTGGATGCCAACCCATTCCCGTTGATCCCCTTTTTAGCTTTTTCCATAATTTATAATACTTTTTTAATTGATCCCACTTATTCTTCAATTTTATACGACCAGAATCTCTTCCGGTCACTTCCTTGAATTAATAGTGACATCTCTATCCCACATGATTGATAATCCAACCTCTTTAGCTTTACTCATTTAGTTCTGTCAGATTAACGGACAAACACAAAATATTTTTTCATAGCAATAATATTGATAAAACATTTAAAAAAATATGCTCTCCATACATAGTGAAGAAAATTCCTCTCATCAAATCTAAATTAACCATACCAATTCTTAAAAATCCATTAAAAAAAAACCAAAAGTCATTTAAATCATCAAAAGTCTTCTTAAGGATGGATATATGTTCATCTGAAAATATCATTTGACTCTTCAAAAGCCTTCTTAAGCATAGGATTGTGTGGCATGTACGACAAAGATCATTTAACTCATCAAATATTATTTCTCTTAGTTTATCAAAGATCATATGCACAACAAGCTTTCCTTTCATATGTAAATACATACGAGTTGTGTGGTATATATGTAAATACCCCTAAAAGTAATCCCCTTCACATCTAACTCAAATCATACAATTGGAAGGGTGCTATTTTGATTTCTCACAGTTTATCAAAGATCATATGCATGACAAGCTTCCCTTTCATATGTAAATACTAAGCATTGTGTGGTATGTATGTAAATACCACTAAAAGTAATCACATTCAGATATTACTCAAATCTTACTCAAATCATACAATTGAAAAGGATAATGTTTTGATTTCTCACAGTTTATAAAAGATCTTATGCAAAACAAGCTTCGAACAGAAGTAAACTTATTCAAAGTGTTCTTAAAAACAATTAACTTCAAAAGCAACCGCAAAAAAAAAAAAAAAAAAAAATCATTGTTCACATTTCTTATCTTCCCCTTTGCATATCCACAAAAAAATAATAATAAAAAAAAGATTTAATTGCATGTCCTGAACGGTTACAAATGAAGAAGGAAGATGAGACATGCGAAGGAATAGTTATACCTGTTGAGAGAAATGACGAAGAAGGAAATGCCAAATGTGAGTGAAGAACAGAAGCAATGAGAAGGATCTAATAATTTCACGTATAAGGAGTTCAAATCCATCATCCGATCAATCATTTTTCACAACCGCAAAAAAAAAAAAAAAAAAAAAAAAACATTGTTTCGCATTTCTTATCTTCCCCTTTGCAGATCCACAAAAAAATAATAATTAAAAAAAAAGATTTAATTGCATGTCCTGAACGGTTGCAAATGAAGAAGAAAGATGAGATATGCGAAGGAATAGTTATACCTGTTGAGAGAAACGGCGAAGAATGAAATGCCAAATGTGAGTGAAGATACCAAAGAAGAGGGGAAACACACTGTATCGTCGACCTAGGATCGTTTATGACATGCGATGCAAAGGAGAAATGCCAGAGAGGGCGAATGCGTACAGGGTCACGGGCGAATGCGTTAAAGGCAGGAACATAAACACAAATATTTCGTTCGAAAATGCGGATCGCAGGGGTCGTCCCGCGGTCCATGTCTTTTACAAAATGAAAAACACAGGCTTCGATAATCCCATAATAAGTGCGAACTGTAAGCTGCCCCAAAGAAGCCATAAATCTAAAAATTCTAAATTCATTGAATTCTTTTTAAATTATATAAATACAGTGATAAATAATATTTAAAGAGGCCTCCGAACGCTGCCCTAGCACACATACATTACTAAGCATATAAAGTTGAATTTTATCCGAATAATTTCTTCGGGGATGCCTCTAATTTTTCCTCCGTCGTCCGATCTGCCAGCTACAGTTAACTGGACCCGCCAACGGCTCAATACTGGCCGTTCGTTTGTGGGTGACAACTTCCCACACCAAAAGGAGAAACGCGGCGTATGTTAGCATTCCGACTTTAAAGTACGCCTTCGTTCTCCTACAAAGACTTCTTATCTCGCATCCGCGCATAAGCTCTTCCTGTGTGGTTATAGGAATTCCAAGCCTTGCTCGTCTATCTTTTTTTCTAGTCCGAGTCGTGTTAAGAATGGCAACGAAGAGGAGCGTTAGCGATCTGAAGGAAGCAGATCTGAAGGGGAAGAGGGTGTTCGTTAGGGTAGATCTGAACGTTCCTCTCGATGACAACCTCAAGATCACCGATGATACCAGAATTAGGGCTGCCGTTCCCACCATCAATTACTTGAGGGAGCACGGAGCTAAGGTCATTCTCTGCAGTCATCTGGTAAGATTTTCTATCGATCCGATTTGTTTATCTTGTTTATGTTTCCGGTTTTGTTGTTGATTGTCTGTTTGAATTCTTCGTGGATTTGTTTTTTTTTTATTTTTTATTTTTTCGGGAGTATAATCTATGAAAATGACTTATTGACATATGCAATGTTATGGCTTGTTTGGGTATTTGATTTTATTTTTTGGATTTAACCAGCGTATATCATATCTGCCCCCGTCGATGACGTTTATTCCTTGTTTACTGGTTCGCAAGTATCTGAGAATATAACCATGGAGAAAATTGGTTGGATTGTTTTGAGATGAGTTTAATATATAAATAATTAAGTAGCTCTTATATCACCCTGTTTCTCAAATATAAAATCAATCCAATGAGTAAAGAATCCATACCGAATTTTTTACTTCGAGGATAGGAACATTTTTAGAGTTGTTATTAATGACACTGGATCAACAATTTTCCAACATCCAACATGAATCTCGAGGCATGATGTGGATCTCCAAATAATTTTTTGAGCAATGAATGTTTAAATTTTGAGTAATACTCATCCATAACTACGATTTTAACAAACCTACAGTCAAATTAATCAACTCAACTTGGGGTGTATATAAGTCAAGCTGACTCGTGAGCCGGCACGAGCTCGGCTCAATAAGTGGCTCTTGAACTGCGCTCGATGAGCTAACAAGCCAAGCTCAAGCCAACCCCGACTCGACTTGTTAGCTCGTGAACTTGCTCGTTTAAAAAAAAATATTGATATAAAATATAATCAAAATATATAAAATTCAAGATTTTATCTTTAAGGCATTAAAAATGTTTAATTAATATTATTTAGTATTTTATATTTGGTGATTTCTTATTATTTATCTCATAATTGTTCATTTTAATTGACATTTTATTATAAATATAGCTTAAATTAATATAATTTTCTCTTTTTTTATAATAAACAAGCTGACTCGTAAGCCGATTCGAACTCTTAGACTTGAGCTTGAGCTCGAACTTAATAAAATTAATCAAGATCAAGCCAAGAGTGGCTCAAGCTCGACTCGACTCGACTCATTTACACTTGTAGGCTCGACGAGATGGACCCAACGATACCAAAATTAGTCTAATCCAAGTTAAATCAAACTCAGATCAAGTTGTTCAATCACATTTAATAGCTTTCAGACATAACTAGAAGATCAAACATATTTCAAATACGAAAAACTTATAGTCAATTCGAGGACAACGACAATACGAATTCAATGAGTCCAAGATCACTTAATTTCAACATCATTAAGACACTAAATTGTTCATCAAATGATGTTCGATCAAGGGGATATCTTCGGGCTGTCCGATCAAAAGTGGTCTGAATTACTTTCTTATTTACATTTCAGAATTTTTTAGTAGAGCCCAACTTCTTTCTGAGAAGAAGGACTGAAGCTTGAAATATGAAAGAGACTGAAGCTTGGAGAAACCATCATTACTTCTACATCGACGATCTGGCAGACACCTTTTGCTTTTGCAGTCACTGACTGTCGCCAACCACTGGCAACCATCACTCAACATGTGTCATCAATAATCATCGGCCTTCGCAAACTCCTTGTGAAAAAGTACAGTGCAACTTATGAAGCAACACAACATTTTGGACGTCGTGTCGACCTCAAAGACATCGTATTGAAGCTCCGAGTATTGCTCCTCCTTGCGACCGCTCCCTACCAAGGGGTCACAAGTCCTTCCGCGCATCAACAATGTAACTTGAGAGGCTATGCAACTCTTTTTTACTTGTGGGATAAGAGATTGTACTTGTAATGATCAACTTATAGTGAAATATTTAAACTGGGCAAGGGCTTGTGATTTTTTTCCTTTTCCTTTTTTCCTTTTAAAATCTTCCAGTATTTTATGCCAATCGTTTTTACTACCTATACGTGTGTTGGGTTCTTGTGTAGCATTAAGATGTTAATTTATCACTCTACTATCGCGAATTCTCTCGCACACATTAATTTGACGCTGTCTGTGAGAAATAAACAATCCAACCATTGAAGTACTTGCGAGCTATGCCGCATGGTCACCACACGCAATACTTACAACAACAGAGCATTCCGCTTCCACACTCATCATTCTAGGGGTTTGGAACGAAGTCAAGGGCGTCAAGCCTTCGCATCTTCCTACCCTAGAAGGCGTTACCTTGCTGGCAAAGGCGCTTTGGGTCATTCTTTGAAAGATCGAGTACGCACGATGGAAGATTCTCAATTGGAGACTCTATAGCTACGCGGGGCTCGACAACAATTGCCTACACTGCCCGATGAAGCTTACTTACCACCAGTTCAACAACCAACGGGAAATGCTCTACTTGAAAATATTCCATTGGACCCCCTCCCTGCGAGGGAATCTTTTCCCTGTCAGGTTGGGATGCTGACCTCCTGGATACTGCAAGTTCCACTTATCTGTGTCGCACAACTCACTTGTTATCGTCCTGCCTTGCTGCCAATCCTGACAATATTGATCGTGACGAGCTATGACGTCTGGTCTAAGAAGAGTTCCTTCTGGAGAATAAGGATCCCTTTCCTACTCGCTTTAACTTCCAGGAATCCTCTTTTAGTAGAGGCCATCATCAAACACTCTATCTTAGCAAGCTTCAGACTCCCGAACATCGACGCTTACAAAGGGGTAACTTACTCCTATAAGGATGTTGACCACTACCAAATCATAATGTACATTCAACATGCCTATGATGCGCTTCTCTGTCAAGTATTCCCATCCATTCTCAAGAGTTAAGTTCACACCTTATTCTACTCTCTTCAGGGGGTACTTTCATAATCTTTAAAGAGCTTGCTAGGTTATTCACGGAGTAGTTAATAACAAATATAATGATTATCAAAGATTTATATCATTTGTTAGGAATTCACCAAAAAGAGGGGGAGTTGTTCAAGGAATACTTCCGCAGATTCTCATCTATTAAAGCTCGTCAGATCTCAAGAGTGGATTCAAAACTACTAAGGGGAGTCTTTTTTGGAGGACTTTGCCTAGGACTTTTCTACTCATCATTGATGTGGGAGACAGTCCGCTCTTACCCCTTTTATTTATTTTGTGTGGAAGCTAAAATCTCTGTAGATGGGGCAATTAGCGCTCACAAAAAACAATTCGAACGATGGAGGGCAAGTGCAAGAATAACGTTGGGGATATCTATCAAGCCTCATAACAAAAGAAATTTGAATTGCATGAGAATCATGATTTCTCTTTTCAACCCGCAAGCTAAGAATGTGAGGTTCGATAAAAAAAAGAATACACACCACTCAACACGTCACGTGTTAATATCATAATGACCGTTAAAGAGGAAGACGTCATCAAGTGGCTAAGTCCGTTAACAAATCTGGATGGTGGAGACTAGTTTCAATATTATCATTTTCATCGTATAAAGTAGTATTCAATTGAGAGATGTTTTCACCGAAAGGAAGAAATTGAATGTTTGATACGTCAAGGTCACTTGGTTAGCTACTTACAAGAATAGGGTGAGGAGAATGAAAAAATTGTCGGGATTATCGAATGAGAAATAAAATTATAAATTATCTTGTTTAAGTAAAAAACTTTTTTGGCTTTCACCATAACATATAAGCTTTTAATTTTATTTCTATCTTGATTCTCCGTTCCTTTAAAAAAATATTGTTCAGTGAAATTTTATTATTAACGAAGTTTTATTTATTCTCTCATAAAAGATTTTGTGGAGAATGTCCCTCGAAGACAAGTGACAGACGATGTCTCTACTAATATCCCTAAAAGATGAGCCCAGGAGGCTAGTCTCGTGAGCAACTAGTAGTGGATACATTTTTCACTAGAAGTTTCTTTTAGGGAAAGTGACAGACAATTTCTCTACTCATAGCTCTGAAAAGCGAGCCCATGAAGCAAGTCTCGATGAGAAGCTAGTAGTGAATACATTACTCACTAGAAAGTCCACTTACGAAAAAGTGACAGACAATGTCTCTACTCATACCCCTAGAAGACAAGTTCAGGTCAAGTCTCGATAAAAATCTTGTAGTGGATATATCTATCACTAGAAAGTTTTCTTGAGGGCAAGTGACAGACATTATCTCCACCCATTTCACTAAAAGACAAGCCCAGGAGGCATGTCTCGAAGGGAAGCTAGTTGTGGATACATTCTCATTAGAAAGTCCCTTTGAGGGAAAGCGACATGCAATGTCTCCACTCATACTTCTAGAAGACGAGCCAAGAAGACAAGCCTTGATGGTAAACTAGTAATTGATACATTCTTCACTAGAAGTTTTTTAGAGGCCAAGTGGCATATAATATTTTCACTCATATCCTTAGAAGTTGAGCCCACGAGACAAGACTTGATGGGAAGCTAGTAGTGGACTTGATTCTCACTTGAAAGACTTCACAAGAGTAAGTGATTGACACAATATTCGCTCAAGCCCTTAAAAGACTATAAGTCTCAAAAGACACAGATACATCAAAGACCTAAGAAGGTTATAAGTCTCAGAAGACACATGTGCATTAAAGACCTCAGAAGGATATAAACCTCAGAAGACACATGTGCATGAAAGACCTTAACAAGCTACGAGCTTCAGAAGGTACCGACGCATTTCAAGGTCCTAGAAGACATAAGGTTCAGAAGATATAAGTCTAAAAGGGCATAAGCTTTAGAAGCCATGAGTCTCAAAATATACGTGATTCTTTTCTGTAAAGTGTACGTGCTAACTTTGATTGCAGACTTCTGCATGTTTAGGAAATCAAAGATTCTCATAAGGCACAAGCCTTAGAATAGGTTAAAACCAATATGCACCCCCAAAGTGGGACAACAACGACCCATAAATCGAGCAACATCATCGTAGAAATGAAGTAACCACAACTCTAAAAGAAAGACAAAAACAATATTAGAAGCAACGTAAAAATTTTCATTATATCAAACAGGACTTACAGACAGACACACTATCAATCTATGACTACATCATTCTGACTCATGTAGCAAAGCATTGAGAAAAACACGAGTAAAAATAGGAATAAAG